CGTATCGCTGTGTGTATATTTCGATCGAAACAACCCCACAGGAACCTGTTGCCATTAATCCCATCGATTGAATTTTTTCCCATTTGCTCGCCAGTACGTGTACTCTACCACGGATAATTTAGGATCGAGTTCGCGCGGCTTTACCGTTCTCTCACACGCGTTCCTCCGTTTTAAAGCTCTCTACCGACCATTGCTTTCACGTGCACCTTCCACGTGGCATTGTCACGGAAATTTGTTGCGACCGTTAACCATGGCCTCGTGTTGGGGAACGCTTTAGGAACTATTCCGGTTTCCGTTTAACCCTTTGCATACGAACGTGACGGAAAAGACAGAGAAGAAAGGAAAATAGAGCGTGAGGGAAATGAGAGTAGATTTATGGTATACAAAGGAAAGAAACTAGAGTGAAAAATTGAGACTAAATTTATGGTAAAGAAAGAAAAGAAACTGGAGTATAAGAAGAGAAAGTAAGAAAGATTGAGAGTAGATTTGGCGGTATACAAAGGGTTGAACGCGAAACGTATCCTTTTTTCCACGGGTATACGTGCGAAGAGTGTTAAACAATCGACTATTTTCAGTCGATTTACGCCCCGGGGCTTGGGTATATCGTAGGGGGCAGGATGGAAAAAGAATTCGTTTTCGCACCCAGAGAATCGTACGCCTAATCGTGGGATCGTCGTGTGCAGCCTGGCAGGCCCCGCAAAAGCCGCCAATTAATTAAGATAGCTCCTAGATACACGGTAGATCGATAGGGACTGGCCGTGATAAAGACGGGCGAGGGTTTCAGACTTCAGGGATGTTGCAGTGCTGTGGTGTTGGAGGTGGCGCTTCCACGGCACCTCAGGCTCCGCAGCTGCAGGATACCGGATCTGCTGTCGGGACTACCACCTCCACGAATACCACCATCATGCAGGACGCAGTTATTGAATCCATCCTCGAGGTAAGTTTTCCTACACTTTGCAACTATTTCTCCACCGATTCTTCCCATTTTTTCTCGCACCTTTCGACACGTTCGCTGCCAACCGAGTCGCACATGTGTCACTCGTCAATTTCCACGATGAAACGGTATTCTTTGTTGTAGTTCGTGGTAGAAAATGTAAAGTTCGAGTATTTCTATAGTATAGAAATATATAGATGTCGAGAATGTAAATGAAAATAATTGGTAGGATAGACGACGGTAGCGAACGTGTTAAGTCTTTTCTTTCAAGTCACCCTTGGGACACGGCATGTTACTTTCGACGTTTCCTAATTCAAATTTCTAGTAACTAGTTGCAACGGTAATTGGAACGAAATGATTTTGTATAGTTTCTCCCGGTAGAAAATGTAAAAACGAATCGACGTAAGAAAGTATTACGTAGAAAAATAATGTGCACGTAATAATCATGTGTTGTAACACGCATCACGTGAGTATATACGTTCGTTTCCGAGGGTCGACAAAAGCTTATCAGCGAGACTTGTTCGTCAGTCGACAGATATTGATGTTCTAAGCGAATTTTCAGCGGGGCGGGAAGGATTCGCTTTAATTAAATAGATAACCTGCGGTAGCGTTTTAGCAACCTCGTGGCACTCTTTTTTTTCTCTCTCCACGGTTCGATCGGTTTTTCAACATTTAGGCGGGGTGGATGGTAGAAAACGGGCAGGTTTGTGTCTTGTGTGGAGTAAGTTGGATGTAAGTGTAAGTTCGATTGTACCTACCTCCGAGGCATTCCGAATACAAAGGCTCCTTTCATTATTAATGTCGCGCGGATGATTCTCGTCATGGATCATACTCCCAGTCCCTGCGGGTTATTAAAAGTGGTTATCTACCTTCAGTCACAAGTATTAAACGGAACTTGACGTTCCTGTATTTCGGAGCTGAGTCCACGTCAAGATAAATTGGCACGAACGGACATCGATGAACGATGCTTCGGTGTCGGTCACCTCCGGTCTCTACCGATAACGAAGATTCCTCCATGCAAAACACCGTATTTGTTGTTGGTTTCTGTTAATTCGTTACTTTAAGTGAGACTTACTTTCAACGAAATTTCCAGCAAATGCGTGAAACGGAAGCGCGAAAGGCGGAGCTGGAGCGGCAACATGTCGATGCACAGAATCAGCTACGCGAGAAGTTAGCAGGACGATACCAAGGACCGGAATCGGTCGAAGCGCTGCAGTCAAAGATAAGGGAACTGGAGAAAAAGGGAGCATTGCAGGTGGTCAGACACGAGGAATTGTCTTTGGAATTAACGACTCTGAGACGCGCGCGAAGTAGACATTCGACCAGTTGGCCTCCAGCTGGTTCGGAAATCGACAGAATAATAGCGAAGATGGAACAAGATAATAGGTGTGTGTTTCCTAACATCGTATCTCTAATCATCTCTAATCTCTTTCACTTTTCAAACGTGTCTTTTTGAACGATCCTAGTACCTTTAGTTCGTCGTTGTTCAATCTTATTTCATTTTTATCAACCTAACAGCGCTAGTAGGATGGTACACGACATGGACCATACTCGGGTAACCATTACCACGCAACAACCCTCAGTTTCACAGGGTATTTTGCGATCTAGCTCGGAAAATCTTCCTAATCTCGGCCAACATTCACATCCACCTCATCCGCATGCTTTGAGCCTGGGAATGCCAACCCAGATCAGTCACGTATGTAAAGAAATTTGTAAATGTACATACTTCTGTTCCTCGGTAAAACGAAAGTATATCGAGAAAAGAAAAATGTTGAAACAGTACGCAGGTTCACCTATGCCCTTAACACCACTGATGCCCGGTTGTCCACCTTTAACACCGAACGGACCACCGTACCATTACAGCGAACCAATTCCACCGGCACCGTCACTCTCCACCAGCCAATCTCAACCCGCTTTCCAACAGAAGATGCAGTATCAACAACCGCAACCAACTCACACCGAGTTACCGAGTTCCCATTCTCAAAGTGCTCTGCAGACACAGCAGAAGCAACAACAAACGCACACCCACTTTACGAGCAATCAGTATCAGGAAAGTTATCCACACACGCAAACCTATCAACAGCCGCTCCAGCAGCAACAACAGCAACCGCCGCAACAACATCCGGCCTCTACAACGTACCTGACGTCATCGAGTCAAAGCGTAATACCTCATTATACGCAACCTACGCAGACCGCCCAAACTTTTCAATTGAACGGAAGTCAGCAGGTATGAATTAATCGGAAGGTACGTCGCGTAGGTGTGCGAAACGGACGAATATTCACCATTTCTCTATTAACGTTTCGTTTCCTTGTCTACGTACACAGGCAACGACATATCCAAGTTTGTCCATTACGTCGCATCCAAACGACACGTACAGTACAGGGGCGAGTAGCTTTGGTACTCAACTGTCGCATCACAACTTCTCCGTTCCACCAACGAGCATCACGCAAACCACATTGTCCTCGTTGCCACCGTATTCGACGAGCTCCTTCCATTCTACCCTGAGCGGGCTTACCAGTGTACCACAAACCGTTCTTCCTTACTCAAGCGTACCGAGCACTTACGCCACCACCGGATCCACGTACTCTACCGTCGGGACCAATGCTTTTGGCACGTCGGGTGTGAGCTCAGGTAAGACCGACGTCTGAAGCTTGTCGTTGACAATTTCTGACAAGAAAAATACCGCTATTTTCAGGTAGCACATCAACAGGCTTGTTACAAGCGATAAGTGATCCTCTACAAGCGATGCAGCAACTTTCAGCTCAATCCCAAGCGAATCAGCTTCAACAGCAGGCAATCATACAGCAGATTCAACAGAGTTTACGAGCCAGTTCGCCAACAGCAACTGCTACGACGGGTCACCACTTCCTTGGTCCAAGGCAGATGCCAAAGATACCCAGTAGTATACTTTCTAATCCCCTGGATCGACTGACCAATGACAATATCGTACCCGAGGGTCAAGTGGATATGCTGGACATACCCGGGAAAGGCAGATGTTACGTATATATCGCTCGTTTCAGTTACGAGCCGTTTCAACATTCGCCTAATGAAAATCCTGAAGCTGAATTGCCCGTTCAGGGTGGCGACTATCTTCTCGTTTGGGGGCAACCGGACGAAGATGGTTTCCTCGACGCGGAAACACTCGACGGTAGACGCGGTCTCGTTCCAGCTAATTTCGTTCAAAAATTAGTCGGCGAGGATCTGTTGGAATTTCATCAAGCTGTACTTGGCCTTAGGGACGTCGACGATTCTGCTTCTACCAACATTCCACAAGTAAGCAATGTACGTTCTACGTAGGGATTTTAACACGTTCTCCTTGCATCTTGTATCTTTGACACTTTCTTTCCCCTCTGCAGTGTTATCTACAGGACATCGACCTCGAGTTGGCGACACTGGAAGAGGGGAATCGAAATCGGCAAGCCGAACTGTCCGCGTACGCGGAGCTAGATAATATCGCGGAGGAGGACGAACAAGAGCCACCAGGTTGGTACATTTTTCTGTTGTCGTACGACGTAGAAAATTTCGTTAGTAAGCATGTAGATTATATGTTACACCGACGTGTAATTATATTTGACGAATGTTGGTGTACGTAGTTGCGTTGAAATTGAATTTAGACGGTAGATAATTAGATCAATGTTATTCGATAAGTGTTAGTTAATTAGCGAGAAACATCCATGCTTGTCGGACGTTTCGACAGAAACGTTTCTTCTACCCTGATAATTAGCGACTTGTAATTTGAAGATTAATGCGTTGATCGATGTCAAGCGTATGATCACCTTTGTAGTATTGGATTTCCAACGTATCTTCTTCGCACAGCTGTTGCTAAGTACGTGAAATGTTTCTTCTCGGTAACACTTCCAATGTGACTCGACCAAGGTATATGTACACGCACATACATACATACATGCGTACAATTATATTCTTTTCGTTTCTCTGTTGCATAAAAGAAGAAAAAAAGAAACTAAATGCATGTTAACCATTTTCATAGCGGTTATAGAATGATCTGTTCCGTTTTTGAGGGCAGAGATATGAATAAATTGACGAGCAACGTTAACGGAATCTTGCACTGTGTTAAGTATATTGGATGGTCTTAGGCTGGCTTAGAGAAATTAGATAGTGAAAGATTTTTAGCTACAGCTAGGCTTGTCTTGTCTTTTTTTTGCTGAAGAAGTCTACCTGTTTTCGGACCTAGTTCCGGCGCCACATCACCTCACCCTCGAGCGGCAGCTGAATAAGAGCGTGTTAATCGGTTGGACGGCGCCAGAGAATACCCATCAGCTGGAGTCCTATCACGTCTACGTGGATGGGGTGCTGAAGGTTACCGTCAAGGCAACAGAGAGGACTAAAGCGTTGGTCGAGGGAGTTGATTCCACCAGGGTTCGTAAACACGCATCAAACTTTTATACAATAGAACAGTTTACAAACTTTCCATATCGAACAAATTATTCTCAAGAGTCTGTCAGGTTATTTGATATCGTTCGATCGACATTTATAGCCACACAGAATAAGCGTACGATCAGTGACACACTCGAGAAGAACGTCCCGCGATGCCGCTTGTACAATGGTGATATGTAAGGACGTCGCCTTGGGTCCAACTGCTGTTAAAGCATCGAACGTGACCGCTACCAGTGCTGTCATATCATGGATGCCGAGTAACAGTAATCATCAACACGTGGTTTGCGTGAACAACGTTGAAGTTAGAACGGTGAAACCTGGCGTGTATAGGCACACGATTACCGGTTTAGCGCCCTCCACGATCTACAGGGTGACTGTCAAGGCGAAGAATCTCAGAGCGACACACTTCGAGGACCAAAACACTCAAGCGGCAAATAATTTAGCATGTCACGTCCATTTCAAAACGTTACCCAAGGGACTACCTGACCCTCCGGTCGATATCCAGGTTAACAGTTGTTCTATTACCTCTCTCTCTCTCTCTCTCTCTCTCTCTTTCTCTCTCTCTTTCTCTCTCTCTCTTTCATCTTTTGTGCGCCACAATTTGTGTGTCGTTGAAAATGAGAAGAAGAAGAAGAAGAAGAAGAAGAAGAAGAATTAATTATGCCAAATTGGTGGTAGGTGGAGGCTGGACCGCAGGACGGCACTTTGCTAGTGACCTGGCAGCCTGTTGCCCTAAACGGTTCGGCCGTCACCGGTTACGCGGTGTACGCCGATGGGAAGAAGGTCACCGACGTAGACAGCCCGACTGGTGACCACGCTTTGGTCGACATACACAAGCTGATCAGCCTGAATCCGAAGCATATCACCGTGAGAACTAAGAGCAGGGAAAGTCAGTCGGGCGATAGCTGTGCCACAGCGATTCCCTGTAACGTTCTTCGCGGTGGAACCGGGGCACATCTGCAACACGGATCTACGCACATGCAAGATCAAGGACAGCAGCAACAAACTGGCGTCGGACAACCGGACGATCCTAACAGGCATCATCGTATAGGAGGCGCAGGTCAGAGATATCCAGCGGCACCTGTACCCTCTCATATGAGGAAACACGCAAATACTAGAGTTGACGCTCACGGACAAGTTATCATTGAGACAGACGAGAATTTATCTGATAAAGAGATTTATCCTGGACAAAGCATGTCCCAGATGGGTAAGAGTTCCATTTATGTAAATCGAACTGCTCTCTTATCGTTTATTTCTCATTTTACGTTCTTTTCTTATAAGCTATTACACGACGAAACGCCTATCTTCGATCTGTAGGAAACCGGGGTCAGTTTGGAAATTTTGGAAATTTTGTTTTTCACGTATCGCTATTTTTACTTAGGCGTACCAGAGATCATCAAGGATTCGGCGAGCGAGGCGAATTACAGCGAGGAGGATGATCCCTCGCGTAGGAACAGAGGAATGTCGATACATCACGGTGGACAACATCGATACGGACCACAAATGGGACAACAAGGGCTACCCGGCACGCATAGAAGAATGGTCGGGCCTACCGGTAGACCTCAAGATCCTTATTACGAGCAACCAGGTTTGCATTAGACATACGTCCCAGTGTAACAATCTACCGCAGCGCGTATATATTTTATTTTCATCTTTCATTTCTTGTCCGCACAGACAGTCAAAGAGTCAGAGCAGCAGCTTACCGCGGTGGACGAGGAATGCAAGCTCAAGGTGGCAGTCATCCATCGAGCAGTTCTCAACAAATGAATAAGAGAACTCGTTTGTTCGTCGCTCTGTTCGATTACGATCCGAAAACAATGTCGCCGAACCCCGACGCCTGCGAAGAAGAATTACCGTTCTCCGAGGGCGATACCATCAAGGTCTATTTTCCATAGTTTTCTATCGTTCCCGTGCGAACGGAATTTCAAGGAGAGTGTCGCTTACGAAATGAATCTGTTAGGTGTACGGCGAGAAAGACGGGGACGGATTTTATTGGGGAGAATGTCACGGTAGACGAGGATACGTTCCCCACAACATGGTGGAAGAACTTAAAGACCAAAACCAACCGGGACAGGGTCAATCGGGGAAGAGAGGAAGATGGGGAGATATTTACGCCAATATGCCCGTGAAGAAGATGATAGCGCTATACAACTACGATCCCCACAAATTGTCGCCCAATGTTGATTCTGTAAGATCATTAACAAGAATAATTCCCCTGTGACACGGGGAATCGCCGTACGCGGTATTCGTAACGTATTTTGCTTCCACAGCATGCGGAGTTGTCGTTCCAAACTGGAAACGAGATTTATGTGTTCGGCGATATGGACGACGATGGATTCTATATGGGTGAATTAAACGGTATGCGCGGCTTAGTCCCAAGCAACTTCCTCACCGAAGCACCGGATCAACCGCCGCAAGGACAACTTCCTCCGGGAAATAGAAGACAGCCTGGTCAAAGTCAAGGACCTGGAGTAAGAGGACCGCCTCCTCCACCGCGAGAACCTCCTCCTCCTGGTCATCGACGAGGCAAAGGTAAAAACTTGAAACTGATCGCCGTACAATCTTTTATCGTTCACGGTGCCGCGTATCGTGGCACGAATAGCTCCTCAAGCCAAGTACACGATGTAACGATCTACCTTTTGCCAATGCTCTTCATCCTCGGTGCGAAGCTAAAGAAAAGAAGCGAAATTTTCAATGACGATGTAAACGAGCAGCGGAAAAATCGAGCGCAGCGGTCGAAACTGAGGATCGAGACTGAGAAACGTTTCTACGAAGATGAAAATAGAAAATAACATGGCTCGAGGGGTTGAAATACATACATTCACACTGGCGCCACGTAGTCGACCGACATCCGGTTAAGTCTGCTTGAAAATCTGAACGATGACGAGTAGAAACGATAGTTGCTTTTTAAAACGGAAGAAAAGAAGAGAGAAAGAAAAAAAGCTGTGGAAAAAAAAGAGTAATTGGACGTCAGTGTGGATAAAACAAACGAACGAACAAAAAAAATATATATACATACAATCGGCAAGCAACACAAGACACGAAATTAGATGTGCCAGACGACAGGGCAGAAGGGTGACACAAGTTTACGATCGAGCCCGATCTATTCACAAGGCCCGATCCTCCCTCTATTAATCGAAGCAGAGCTTACGTTTGTTTTTTTAGGGGTGTGCGTACCGATCTTGCAAATATTACCGAGAGGTTGCGATACAGTGTATAAACAACGTGCCGGCTATTTCGATAAAAGGCATTCGAGTAAGTCCACCCGGTGCATATTTCTCTTCAGGGGCTTTATTTTTGTGTAGTCATTTTTCTAATAGCAAGTTTCTAGGAATTCGTGCGAAAATGTCGCAGATATATTTATAAAGTCCCATTAACGTGATTACTATTATTATTAATTAATTATTATACAAAGTTTCGAATTACATGTGTCCGCGCGCAATGTTGTGAAAGCTATATTTTGTACTTGCAAATTTACTTTTTTTTTCTTTAGGAACACGTGTATTGCCATATGCAAAACGATTTTCTATATCTCTACCTAACCTATCTATCTATTATACATATATACATCTATATATATACAATAAAACACTAA